TTTGAAGAGGACCCAGCACCCACATGGCAACTCACAATTGTATGTAATAATCTAGGTCCAGGGGTTCAGGTCTCAGTAAACAAAACCTGAAATTAGGAGTGGGGTACTTATCATCAAAAGTGCACGTGCCCCCTGCCCCCAATAAACAAATGTAATAAAAAGGAAAAACACCCGGAATGCATGCTTGGCATCCCAGTACTTGGGAGGTGAAGGCAGAAGGACGAATGTTTCAAGGTTACTCGGCTACATAACTAGTTTGAGACCTGGATTACTCCATCTCAACAAGACAACTCAGAAGGTTATCAGAAAAAAAAAAAAAAATTTTTTTCTGTTTTACCTGGGAGTATTGAATAGCCTGAATTGGGACTAAATAAGCAAATTTCAAGTAAATTGTGTTTGTCAAATGAGTAGGATGCCCAAGAGAGGAGGCCAGAGCCAGGTGTACAGCGAACATGGCTCTGGCCCCCAGGTATTAAGTTGGCTCTGGGAGACAGGTTGAAAGTAATAATGGAAAAATGATAATTAGCCTTCCTATGTAACAAGGAAAACAGGCATACAGACATGACACAGCATAAAAACAGTGCAGCTGGAGAGACTGAGCAGGAAAGGGAAATTTCAGACTTTTGGTGCTTTAAAAAATTTTTTTTATTGGAGCAGTCTGTGTTATTTAAGGCGGTCGGGCATTAACAAGAGAAAGTACACACGAGTTTATGAGGGCATCCAGGAGACACACAGCAGGGCTCCAGGATGAATCAGCTGTCTGTGGCTGTCTTTTCACAGTGAGGAGGGACATCTCTGAGGAGGAGGAAGTGACTTTGGGGGTGGGAGAGTGGCCTGAGACAGCTCCCCTGGCTCTAGCTGGTTGGACTTAGAGCGTCGTCCCCTGTCGTCACCTGACTTCTGATCGCCCTGGGTTAATGGAATTTCAGCAAGGAAGTTACAGGCTGTCCTGTTCTGCAAATCCGATCCCGCCCAAGAAGACTCGAGAGAGACCTCTGAGCTGCTCTTAAGTTTTAGGTGTTAACATGTCATATTTGGGAGTGACGTCATTCTTACCAGAGTTATTGGGGTCAGAGTCGGTGTCATGGAGCCCTGACTAGCTACAGACAGTCCACCTTCCCCCGGGGGCCCAGTTAAAGCGACAAATAACAGTGAGAAGCAGAAAGGGGGGTGCAGTGGTTCTGAGTCCTTCAGGGCCAGACTCCAGGCTCAGATGGCAACAGAGGGCAAGAGGTGTGCACACAGTTGAGTCACGCGTAGACCTGCCGGCACTGACCTCTTCGTTCCTGGTCTTGCAAGAGGTTACAATTGTGTGAAATCTCTCTGATAAGTATATCTCTCTGCCCGCACCAGGATTCCTGGGAAATTCCAATTCCTTGGGGGCCATTGTCTCAGAGTCTGATAACGGAAGGAGGAGGCGCGCGGGCTTTCTTTAGACTATCTCTGCTCCTGCCTGGGCAGTTACGGGCTGACCGCTGATAAAATTTGTCCCTCGTGAGAACAGGGCCTGTTCAGTTTTAAAGAGCACCACTACAGACTGTGTTTGCTGATTTTAAGGTAGGAGCCTAAACCTTGCTCCACCTTTACAGGGGTGTGCTGCAGGGTTTCCACACTTGGGACAACCTCAGGTCTCCATTTTACGAACAGGGAACAGAAGTGCGGTCAAGGCTGCACTGTTGGTAAACCGGCAGAGCCATTTCAGCACTCCACAGCCGCCGAGGTTCATAGACTGTGCTGTCTATATAGCACGTCCTTTATCCCTGGATATCTGGAGCCTTATAAGTAACTCTAGAAATTGTAGGGGACTGAAATGATTTTGTACATTTAAAGACTACATTTGACATTAGTGGTGTCTGCAGCCGTGGAGCCTAAATGGAGAATATTTTGAGTGTTTCTTATATTTCTGGTTGTGAGCCATCTCTCCCATCTCTCCAGCCCTTGAGTATTTCTTAATTAACAAAAGCGTTACTTTCTTGTCTGTGGTGTGCGTGTGTGTGTGAGTGCGTGTATGTGTGTGTGTTGTATGGCAGATGTGTCAAGGCATAGGTGTGGAGCCCAGAAGACTACTTTGGGAGTCAGTCTCTCCTCCCAGCAAGGGCTCTAGGTTAGCTCTAGGGCTTGTACCCAGTGGGCCATTTGGCTGGCTCTTGAAGATTAAGAAAAATACTTTACAATTTTATTTTCTGGGGCTTGCACGTGTGTAAGTGCCTGACGCGCACAGTGCCCGCAGAGGCCAGAAACGGGTACCCTGGAGCTGGTGCCGTGCGGCGCTGGGAAAGGAACCCAGGTCCTCTGCAGGAGCAGCTGGCGCTCCCAGCCTCTGGGTCATCTCTCCTGGCCCTCCAGGTGGCTTCTGAAGTGGGCTGCTGAAGTCATCTAAGTGATAACCTGTAGCTCGATACAGCAGGCCAGAGCCCTGTCGGGCAGCAGACAGCACATTGAGCTGAATGGTTCTGCGTGTGCTCCTAAATGGCTTTCCTCTGCTAAGATACGATTTTTCAGACGCCGCTGGGAAAGAAAATACTTATTATTCTTTGAGATGAAAGAAAAATGAAAAATTTAATCATGACATGTTCTACTGCTTTTGATTGGAACACAGAGAAATCCAGGGGAGTTTAATGAAGGGAAAGAGTGTCTTTAAGAAAGGCTTGTGCAGGAACGGTGATAATGTGCTCCAGGGCTTCAGCTGGAAGTCCCTGAGGGGAAGCAGGAATTAGCCTGTTAGGGAACCCGCACCCTGTGTGAACGCTGCAGGCCAGAGAACAGTCTGGTAAAACCCATAGGCGTGAAGGTGGTTGGTTCAGGGAGAAGCCAGGCTGGCTACTGGAGCAGCGGGGGCTTTTGGACTGCAAGAATGTTTTGTTGTGTTTTGCTTTACATATTTACATGTATTCTGAACAGTCTCCGTATGTAGCCCAGGCAGGCCTGGAGCTTGCTGTGTGGCCAGGCTCAGAGTTAGAGCAGGCCTGCTGGTCTTTACGGCCGCTTCCTGGGCACCGCCTGGGAGTGGTTCCAGGTTATTGTGTCTGGAAGAAAGGATCCAGCAGCCTCAGGGAGATGGTAACAGGCAATGGAGACCTTACTGACCTAGCAACCACCCAGGGTGGGCCTGGAGCAGGCTCAGCTCATCAGCTGCAAGTGCCTACCTGCATGCTACCTGCTTTCCTTCCTGCAGCTCAGGGCCAGACTCAGATCTCTGGTCCCTTCAGAGCTCCCTCTGGAGCTCATGGGACTTGGTGCTGGCTTTGCTCTGTGTTATGACTGTTTATGTGCTATGTTTATGTTTACTGTTTATGTGTTTATGTTGTTGTTTTTTTTAACATTTTATGTGAGTCTGTCAGCTATTTTGTAGAACACCCCATATTGGGTTCTCCTGTTTGTGTAATTGCTTCCAGTTGTCTCCGTGTTTCGTAATTCGTAATCCAATGGTAGCACAGCCCTGGCCTGTCTGGCCCGTGCCTTGTGATTTTAAAACTGCTTTACAATGCCGGCAGCTCAGGGTGGCTGTCCTGGCTTTCGCCTTTTTTTTTACTTTACAGCTTTGTATTCTAATCTGATAGGTTATATTCTAACCTAATAAATGTTTTTGTACCCTGCCTTTCTTGTTTTTTTTTTTTTAAAGATTTATTTATTTATTTATTTTATACAGCATCTGCCTGCACACCAGAAGAAGGCACTAGATATCAGTATAGATGGTTATGAGCTACTATGTGGTTGCTGGGAATTGAACTCAGGACCTTTGGAAGACCAGCCAATGTTCTTAACCTCTGAGCCATCTTTCCAGCCCCCTTTCTTGTTTTGCAGAGAAGATAAATATAGGTCCATAAGGGGGTTATTAAATGCTTAAGGATGCCTCTCTTGGCAGTGTTTCCACTAGCTGTGTTATTAGTAAAGAACTCTTTGATCGTGTTTGGTAGTGAGGGTTTTTTTCTCCCTAAAATATATCTTTGTCATCCACAATCACTTCTGAACAGGAGGAGTTCCTGTTGCATAGAGATTTGGACATTTTAGGGCATCTGTGCTTCAAGTGGGACAGTTGTACAGTTACATGGAATCGGCTTGTTTTGATGTTTTTTTCCCACTTATGTGGGTAATGGACTGTATCAGTTATTCCGGAAGTATCCTTCTTAAAAACCCTCCCCTCCCTCTTACTCTACTCTGCGTGGCCAGTTTACTTTCAGGAGCATTTGCTTGATGTCAGCTCTGTGCTTGTTGTGACAGCCAGTGTTGTGCCGAGGCTAATGAGGGGACAGAAGGGACAACAGTGCTTTTTGAGCACCTACTGTATACCAAGCACCATACTGAAGCATAAGATAAGCCAGGATAGACTTCTCACCCTCTGAGGAAGGCCCCACAGGGACACACATCACAACCAGGAAACACACAGGACACTGGCCACTCACAGATGAGAATCCAGATCAGGCAACCAAAGCGCTTTGAGTGGCAGCAAGGCAGAAAAGGAGCCCTAGACGAGAAGCGACAACTGGGAACTGCACACACAAAGCTTGAGTGCTGCATCCACAGTGTGGCCCTTTGCCTTTTGTCAGCGTCAGTGGGGAGAGTCTTAAACTGCAGGTGAGACACGCTGGGCTGTGGTGAAGGGATATGCAGAAGGAGGAGCAGTGCAGTGAGGACGAGGGTCAAGTCCTCAGGTTGATGTGTGCAGACCTCAGACCGTTTGCATTTCAAACCGTTTTGATTTAATTTCCCCTAACGGAGACACTTTCTCTTGGGGCAGGCGATGGGCAGAAAGAATGGTCAGTTCTGTAAATTTACTTGATTTTTAGTTCTCAGATAACTCTAAAAACAGTTGTTTTAAGGCCGGGCATATTGGCTAACATCTTTAGGCCGAGGCAGGTGGATCTCTGAGTTCAAGGCCAGCCTGGTCTACAAAGTGAGTCCAAGACAACCAGGGCTGCACAGAGCAAACCTAACCCAAAACAAACAAACAAAACAGTTGTGTAAGCTTTTACTTACTGAGCGTTTTGTTTTTCTTCTAGTCCAAGGACAAGATGATGAGAGGCTCCCGACGAGGATGTGTCCGGCTCAGGGTGAGTACTCCTTCCATTCACGAAGACCACTTTCAACAGAAAACATCTTTTGATGGAGTCTCAGAGTCTAGGTTTAACTTGACTTCTTCCTTAGCTACTGGGGCCAATACCCAAGTCTCAGTGAGGAAAACTGGGTTTCCCCAAGTGACTTGTAGAAAGTATCAGGACGAGGACTAGAACTCAGTTACTTTGATTCGTGTTTTAATCCATGACTTAAAGCACCTCCCAGCTCTCCTTGGAAACCTCATTTTACAAAGGACAAGGCTGGAATTAAGTGAGTTGTATGTTGGTGAAAAGAGTGAGAAAAGCTCTCAGCAGCTGCTTTTCTCTTCTCAGCTGTTGGATCATGTGCATAGCAGTCTGGGCAGTCAAAAGATATCCTGAACCACACATTTAACTTACAAACTGATGGCAGCCCACATCTAAAAAGGAGAAATATGCAAATGAAATTAATGAGCCAATATATCCAAAATATTACTTTAACAGGCAGCCAATACTTATTAACAGGTATCTTACATAACATGGGAGGCTGAGGCAGGTGGATCTCTCTGAGTTTGAGGCCAGCCTTGTCTCCATAGTGAGCTCCAGGCTAGCCAGGGTTGCATAGTGAGACCCTGTCTTGAAAAAAAGAAAGAGACCGTTGCCATGACTTTTTGTTCCGGGTCCTAGAAGTCTGGCATGTCTTTTGCACAGATCATGGTTATCAATGTGCTCAACAGCTCACTTGTGGCTGTTGGTTGTCTTATTGGACAATGCAGTTCTGGGCTTTTGCTGCTCTTAGTTGCTTGTTTACTGCCTACCACTGTTCAGTAGGGACAGCTGAGAAGGAGCACAGAGCTGGGGCACAGGTCACAGACTCACTCCACCAGAGCTAGCCCTCCAGTGCCGGCAACTTTCTCCTTTTCAAATGCTTTGCTTGCTGTCGTCACCCTTATCAATTTTTTTTTTGTTTGTTTGTTTTTTGTTTTTTTGGTCTGTGGTGTGTTGAACTGATCCTAGGTTACACCCTTACTTTTGAAGATGTGAATATATTTGGTAAACATTGCTACCTTTATTAACAGTTCTACCAAGAATTGGAAAACAATTCTAAGCTTAGGCATAATGGGGAAAGTCTTGAACTGAGATGGGAGTAAGGGTGGCTGGTTTGCAGAATGGAAACAAGACTAACTTGGATATATGACAGCTTAAAGGTTTTCAGAAAGCAACATAGGGGCTGGTATAGGCAGAGGTATCGTTCACCTTTAAGTCTCAGCACTCGGGAGGCAGATGCAGGCTGATGTCTTGAGTTTGAGGCCAGCCTGGTCTACAGAGTGAGTTCCAGGACAACCAGGGCTACACAGAGAAACTCTGTCTTAGAAAAACAAATAAACAAACAAAAAGCAACTTAGGTTGTTTTTATTTTTTTATTTGGGTTTCTTTCTTGTTCTTTTGAGACAGACTTTTCAGGTGGATTTTCTCGTTATTGGTTCCAGTTATACTCCATCTGGTTTTAACTGCTCTTGGCTTGAGGTGGGCCCAGGGAGGCCTTGGCAGGGCTGACTTGGGGCAGCAGGTCAGCGGATTGTATTTGGAGTTGGGCCACTGTCTTGTCACAGTGAATGCACTGCTTAGTTGTAGGTTTTGAAATGTGGTGGAATTCTTCCCTGTGCCTGGCTTTCAGGCTGAGAGCTTTGCCCTGCAGCCTGGGCGTTGCCCAGCCAGGTGCCTCCTGCCCGCTGGGTAATCACCCTCTGCGTTTCTTTATATTGTAGCGTGACATCCCTAAATCGTACGGATTTTTAAATTGAAATTTTTAGATGTTTGTTGTGTTTCCTGGGCTGGTCTCCATGCCCTGAGCTCAGGAATGCTTCAGTCTGCTTCTGGAGAGCTGTGGGACAGCACGTAGCAAGTTTGTAGCTTTGTTTGCTCACTGTAAAACTCTGTGCTTTTTGTTCACATTTGCCCCTCCAAGTATTCTACCCTAGACCTCTGGAATTTGCAGTGTGCATTCCACTGACAGTACCCTGGGGTCAGTGCCTTCCTCTCTCCTGTTTCTGCTCTGGGTGGCGGCTGCATCCAGAGACTGCATCAGACTCGAATTCGACCCTGCTGACAAGACTAGGTGGTGTCTTGAAGCAGGAGACACATGTCCAGTTCTCATTCCTTGTTGACCGTAGTAGAGCTAATGCTCAGTGAGTACTTACTCTCATTGGGTTGGCAAAATGGAGATAATCTATAGTTATGTTAATTTTGTGATGCTTAATTTTATTATCTGTTTACCTAACAGTGCAGCTCCAATAGGCAGGATAACCGCTTAATTATTTCCTCTCACTTGCTCACTTGCCTAGATTTTAAGATAATGACTTCAGGCCGCAGCCCTTACATATCAAAAAAAAAAAAAAAAAAAAAAGGAAACAAGAACCTAAGTAAATATTTGTGTAATGTTTGTAACAGTGTTAGTCACAATAGCCCTGAAGCAAAACAATTCAATTGCCCATACAGATGTATCTGTATATCATATGTGGCTATGCACAGAACCACACAGAACCCTGGGCCCAGTGAGCTCAGTCCTCACTGGAGATCTGGAATCACCAGGAGGATGACCCTCTGTTGGGTTAGTGCGGTGGGAAGACCTGCCCACCGTGGAAAGCTCCACCCCCTGGGCTGGGCTCCTGGACTGTATTGTGAGACCTGCCCACCGTGGAAGGCTCCACCCCTTGGGCTGGGCTTCACTTCTGTAAAGTGAGTGAAGAAAGGGAGGGAAACAGACCCTTTATCCCTCTAGTTGCTCTTGTCTCAGGGCATTTTATCGTAACTGGAAAAGAAACTAAGACAAATGCTATTTAGCCTTAAGAAAAGAAAGGAAAGTTTCACATATGCTAACATGTGAGCATCTTGAGGATGTCATACTAAGTGAAATATGCTAGCCACAGAACACAAATATCATCCTGTTAGAAGAATCATCAAATTCATGCAAACTGGAAATAAAATGGTGGTTTCCAGCCTGGGCATGGAAATAACTTACTTGGTGGGTATGGAGCTGAGTTTCGACAGGAAATTTCTGGAGATGGATGGTGGTGACAGTTGCACAGCAGGATAAATGTCCTTAGTGCTGCAACACTAAGTAAATATCAGACCAACATGTTTTGTCACCATACTCAAAAATACACTGGAATTTCCACAGTTCTGCAGGTAGACAGCTCAGGGGGATTTTTTGCTGCGATTTATAAGGCTGACATCAGCGTGACTGGGTTGGCCTTCTCTGGAGGCTTTGGGAAAGAACCATTTGCAGGCTGTTGGTAAAATGTAGTTGCTTGTAAACATCTGGAGCTCTCTTTGCTGCTGTCACTTACTGCCTTTACTCTGCTTTGGGAGGCTGGGCCTAACTGCCCGTCTCCTCCTCGTAGGACAGTACACATTGACCCCTAGTGTTGTGACTCCTTCTGGTGTCCCCTCATAGACAACTCTGTTTTTAAAAGGCTCATGCAGTTAGCTTAGGCTAGAGAACCTTTTGCTACTATTTAACATACGCATTGCAGCGATCTCATCACATAGTTTTCATCCGTAGTTCCAGGAGAGATTATCCAAGAACAAGTGTCATTCTTAGAATCCTGCCTGCCACCTAGAAGAACAGAGACACCTCATTTAAATCCTACTTCACCCTTTGGTTGACTGAAAGAGGGCAGCTGTAGGCTTGAGTTTGAGTTCTCTTTAAGTGGAGATTATACTACATTTCTATCAGAATTCTGTGGGCTTTCACTACTTGGCACATGGATGGTGGTGTGATGGAAATGCACTTCTGACAAGGCTGGGGTACAGTTCATTTGGTGGAGTGCTTCCTAGCATGCAAGAGGCTCTGGGTTCCATCCTCAGAGCTGCCAGACATGGGTGGTGAATGCCTCTAAGCCCGGCACTGGAGAGGTGGAGGCAGGAGGATCAGAGGTGGAGGGTCATCCTCTGTGAGGCTAAGACACTGTCTACGGTTTCTTCTGCTTCGATGAAATACCACAACGTAAAGCAAGTTGGGGAAGGAGAGGGCTTATTTGGCTAACACTTCCTTATCATCGTTCATTATCGAAGGGAGTCAGGACAGGAACTCAAGCAGGGTGGGATCCTGGAGGCAGGAGCTGATGCAGAGGCCATGGGGTGCTGCTCACTGGCTTGCAGAAAGACTCGTGGTATGTGCAGGACATCAGGAGTCCACATTTTACTGCCTGAGACACCTTGCAAGGCATCAGGCCCAGACATTTTTCTGGAGCGAGGGACTGAGCTCAGGGCTTGGCAATGCTGTGAACACACTCCCCTACTGAGCCATACTCCAATCACTTCCAGTCTCAGCAAGGCCATACAGGCATGTGTGACTTTGTTAGTTTCAAAGCGAGCCACTAGATGGCGCACTTGCCTTGAGGAAGTAGTAATGGCTGGTGCTTGGGTCAGATCCTCAACCCCACCCCATGTTTTATCCAAAAGCAAAATAGTAACTGCATTCGAGAGGCATGTGAACTGGAGACAAGAGCATGACATCTGTGAAATGAAGGCTAAGAATGAATTCTGCCTTTAACTAGCTGTATGAACGGAGCCAACGTTTTCCATTCATTTTTGAGCTCTTAAACACACACACATATACACAACAACAAAGCAAAGCAAGACTGTGTATCATGTTGTTCTCTCACAGAATTGTCTGCCTCAGATTTGTTAATATATTTGAAAAGTAGTAGTGACTGAACCTGCTGCCTTAGAGATGCTGGACGAGGAATCCTCCTCTCTCTCTCTCCTTCTCTCTCACACTCTCTGTCTCCCTGACTCTCCCCCCCTCACTCTGTCCGAATCTGTCTGTCTGTCTCTCTCACACTCTCTGTGTTATGTGGTTTGCATGCATGTTCTTGTGGGGGTGCATGTACACCTGCATGTGGGGCTTAACATGGAATCTTCCTGAGTGGCTCTCTACCTTCTCTATCAAGGCAGGCTTGCCATGCAAGTCCCTTTGCTGCAGGGCCCCTGTCTGCCTTCAAATGCTGGCT